TCCAGTGTGTAACATTTAGGGGGTTCTACTGGCAGGAATGAAATATAACATTCATAGGTGTGTTTTAATTAGTGTATAATAGCCCAAAAATAAGAATTGCTGTTTTTCGTTACCTCAGAATGAGCTGTTTTGGTTGCAATCTGCAACTTCACTGACAGATGCCACTAAATCTTACACGCTGGACCTTTAAGTTGAAATCTTTTCATTTAAACCTGCATTCATTGTTTTTCTGGCCTCAAACAAATGCAGCAGTGTGTCCACATGGTCAATGTAAGTCCAATATTAGCTCTGTTTTGGTCTCTACCATCTCCTCTGGGAAATACGAATCTGGCTGTTTAACTGCTAAATGCTCCACCAGCCACCTGCTGTCTTTGACTGTCTGTCTTGGAGTCGGGCAGGTAGCATGCAGTGATTTTAGAGCATTTTTTTTGCTGAAAAGCTGCCTGCCAGTGACACTATGAGAGCAGTGAAAATGAACCAGAACTGTAAAGTGTCGGGCTGTGAAACTGAAACAATGAGTTAAACTGTGCTAAAATGCTGAGAGATGCTGAGAGATCCTGCATTCTGCAGTCAGGCGATAATTTTCACACACGCAGTCATTTAATCCATTGTTAATATGAAAACATTGATTATAGAGCAGCTTTAGGTCCAGAAACTCCTGCAGTGCAGAGGTAAGGGAAATGATGCTGGAATAGTAAAATGGTGGAAAAGGCAAAAGGAAAAAATTTAGTTGTGGGAGATTGTAGTGGGTGATATAACAAGTACAACTGTATTGACAGAATAGGGAAAAAGAGGTGGTTGGGTGTCATATATTTGAAGTAAACATACTGTGTACTCTACCAACTGACAATACCATGTTTTTGTCCCAACTAAAAAAACTTTTTTATTTAAGCAAATTCAATGATTCTGCAGGGAAGTACCTCGGTTCCCTATCCAGCAGAAGGACAGCGGGGCCCTGCTGCTGTACTTGCTCTGTGATATTTGCCCAGCAGTGGCCTTGTGTCACGTCTCCATTAAAAATGCCATGTTCTCCGTAAGTGCTGGAGACGGGGCTGTAACGAACGCTGCTCTGTGTAATTAACTGTGTAAACGCAGCTTTGTAATTAAGACACAGGAAAGCTCTCCCCTAAATTAGGTCGTCAAGGTCGAGGCAAGATGAAACAGAATGGCTTTCAAAGGCACACGCTGTTCACAGGCACGTACACGGTGACACGACAGGCTGCTCTATTAAAAGATGTTCATGAGGAATAAAAAATAGCTTACAGAGGAAATATCTAGTTCTGCTATGGATACATAAAATGGTGTGTTTTGCATTTTTATCATTCACAGTCTACTCATGCACATGCATCAGGTTCCCTGCAGACGTGGCGTGAAATTTCCCCCTTCGGAGCAAAAGTCTTTGGCAATTAACAGATTGCCGGTTATTAAGCCCTTAGGACCAAAGCAACCAGCTCCCATTGTCATTTGTTATGATATGAAAGAGGAGCCAGATGTGTCCAGTGCACCAGCTCTGAGAGGCTTTGATGAATAGCAGCTCAGGAATACACCTTTGATCTGTAATACAGTGTGTAACTGTGGGGTGCTTTTATGCAAACATGCAGCGTGAACACGGGAGATGAGTGGAGGCCGGCTAAAAACTCACCTTATCAGCCTGTCTCATGTAGCAGTAGAGGATCCCTCTCATGCACTTGATGGCAGAATGCTCCAATTCATGGGTTCGTCCCATATCGTCATCGATGCGTCTGCATAGGGGGGTGAACAGGGACAACACACGAGTGGATGAATACATGATGAACACATAAAATGATTTTCCAAGATTACTTTTGGGAACCTGGGCCGCTGCAGTAAATACTCAGCCTTTTTGTACATGGGGCGTGCACTCTACATGGCCCCCACATGAACTGATTTTAAAGGATAGTTCTGGTTTATTCCAACTTGGGTTTTATTGTTGAAGTTTTGGCTTTCAAATCACAATCTCACTACCAAGTCAGTATCTTGGAGGTCAAAGTCAAAGTCCAACCAGGAAGTGTGATTATGATGGACAGTTTGGGTAATAACTGTTCTAGTTTCAAATAAGTTTGGCTAATATGAGTTTTTTTTCAAATATTATCAATCAGAATTATAGCCAAAATTACAAAAATAAGGTCTAAATTATAATAAACCAGGAATTATCCTTTGAAGGACCAGTGTGTAGGATTTCTATCTAGTGTGTTCTATCTTTTTTTCTTTAAAAAAAAAAAAACATGTACATAAAGATACCTCCACATAAAATATTTATTTCAGCATCCTTTGCTCTCTGCACCATTGCACTATTGTCTACTACAAAAGTTTGTTTATAGACATGTATAACTGCACATATGAGTCTATGTCTTTTTTGTTGAACTTGTTCTGTTTATTTATACTGTAAGTCTGTGTTTGTACACAGAGTAACGTAAAACCGGAGTCAAATTCCTTTTATGTGCACACATAACTGGCCAATAAAATTGATTCTGATTCTGATAGTTGCAGATTGCAACTCACTCACTACCCACATTAATTTCAGGTGATTACACACTAATGAAAACATACCTATGAATATTAAATCTAATTTCTGCCAATAGATCCGAGATGTTACACAGTGGGCCTGTAAGACCACCATGACACCAGCATAAGTGTACAATCAGAGTCAAGTCAGACTTTTCATGGACATGCAAACCTGTGCTTAACAAACAAACAAACAAATAATACAAACAATACACTGTAAGCAGTGTAAGCCTACCTTAACTATTAATACCACATATAGAAATAACCTAAGATTGACAACACAGGTCCACGTGCAGATGGGCATTGCAGTAATATTAGGGTGCTCAAACAAACTAGAGTGTGTTTATCCACTTGGTTTAGTTTGGCTGGTGTGAAAGCTTTCAACTGAACTGCAATGTGGACCAAACAACCAGACCTGAGACCCCGTGAAAAGGGGGTTGTCTACAGGTTCATCATTATTTATGACATATGAGGTGCAGTTGCAGTCTCCACGGTAATGCTCTTCTTGGGCTTTTTGTGTCCATCAGAGAGGATAAACAAAGGTGCAATAAGGAGCTGAATGACTTGCTGTCAATCTCTGGACATGGATTCTTTCCACGAGTCCATGTGGGGCTAATTATGCAGTATGACCGACAACTAAACTGCCTAATGAATGAGTTCCCTGTCATTTCATATGATTCATTTAAATTGATTTGAAAGACAACAGTGTGAACAGTCAATGCACAAGAACTAAAAAGCAACAATGTATCCTTCCTTTTTGTCCTTGGTCTGGACAAACTAATTTCACCGACAGCAGGGGTGGATTTAGAGGGGTGGCACGAGGTGGTACCGGCCCCCCTAGCTGTTTGGTGTCAAATTTAACAAATTAATTTAACGTGTTAAAAAACGAATTGATTTCTAATGCAACCTGTACATATTTATATTCAGTGCTTTAACGTGCTCAAACGTGCCACAACAATTTAATGTTTTTAGTCCAAATATCTTCATTTGTTTGCGATTAAATCAGCATATATTCCTGCCACCACTTAAAGGTCCAATTTGTATCATTTAAGAGAGTCTATTGGCAGAAACTGAATATAACATTCATGTTTTCATTAGTGTAAAATCACCTGAATATGGGAATCATTGTGTTTTTTCATTAATTTAGAATGAGCTGTTTTTATCTACAGACACTGCGCTGTCGCCTTCCATGGAGTCTGCCATTTTGAACTGCCATGTTTCTACAGTAGCCTGTTCTCATTCCCAGGTCGTCAAATACAGACACGAGTGGTATTCAGTTAGTTGCTGTACTGAGACTTCACAGCTAGATACCACTAAATCTTACACATTGGACATTTAAATGCCATGCCATAAGAGTATTTCTCTAGATCTGGGGGGCAACAATTTATCAGTGGCATTCAACAGTGGCAAAAAAAATTACTTCAATTTGTTAACCATTAAAAAAAGTGTAATGTTGCATGCAAGAATGCATCACAATAAAAATGACTAGTGATGAAGCATTTAGACTTTGACAAGTAACTGTAGTGTATAAGAGCGTATTCTCAGTAATGTACCACTCAGAAGTCAATCAATTACGGTTGCAGTGTCCTCAGGGGGAGTCAGTACATTCCTGATGCACATTACAAAGGTCATGCTAATAATTACTTTGGGTATCGATAGGGGAAAGGTGAAACTTTCAGAGGTACAAGGTACATTAATCACACTGTCTTTGTGACCCACCACATCAAAACTGATTGCAGGCAGAGGATAAGGTAGGCAGCTTTTCATCTACCAACGTCCTGTTTTAAAGGACTTCATTGGGTATTCATTACCGAACTACAAGTATTCAACAATGAAATATGCATGAGGCGATCCAACACTGACCAGGGCTTACAGTAACATACCCAGCTCTTCAAATTTAATGACATTTAATCAGGAAACTACAAGAAAATATTAGAAAATCATCTTACACATACATATATAATGGGGGGATGGGTTGTCAGCTTCCATAATTATACTCATATATGAGTATATATACATACATATATATATATATATATCCAATAAAATGTAACAAAATAAAGAATAAAATGTGACTGGGCAAGGTGGTGGATAAACCTTATCATGTCTACTTAGAATAGGAGTTTGTGGCAAATCCAACTGCCAGTCTACTCACTGAATCTCACACACACACTCAAATACACACACAGCAGCTGGGCGTGAAGTAAGTAATGGCACTAGCCAAGCCTGTCAGATGAGAATTATCTTAATTAAATCCCAGTGACAATTCTAATAGGAGGCAGCCATGACTGATGACTGGGATCTGCCGCTGGTCACATCAGTGCAGTACACTCTATTTTTACCCCTCTCTTTCCCTTCTGTCTTCCCCCTCAATCTTATTTCTTCACTCAGTCTTTCTCCCCCATCTCCCATTTCTTCTCCCTGTCTCTTATCTTTCCATTTGCCAACCAACTCTCTGCACATATCTCCTCTTTTAGTATCTCCTTCCTTCCGTATCTTCCCTCCTCCTCTCTGTCTCCATTCTTCCAATCCTTCTCTCTCTCCACATCCTTCTCTCCATCCTTTCTCCTCTCTCTCTGTCCTATTACAGGCTCATTTCGCGGAAGTGCTCTTTCCCTTAGAAACTAATCACTGAGGAATGCAGGCATCAAGTGCAGGGATGGTTGATAAAGGAGTTTGGGGCCTTTAGACAGTTAGACAAGTGTTCTCCTGGAATCAATAATCCCTATGTGTTTAAAAAGCAAAGCCTTCAAATGACAGAGGCAGATTAGAGATCAGGGTCAGCAAGCGTGAAACAGAAGAGAGTGGAACAAAACCACAAAGTTGAAGAAGGGATACAGAGTCCAGAAAGCTGTGAAACAGTAGCCGTAAAAACTTATGTAACGGAGGATTCTTGGTCTGTTCTGCACATAATGCTTTATGAACACACTGTAAGTGATCTATTTATCTATTATTTTAGTGTTCCTTTTACATCACTTATGCTTTGGTAGTACATTCTAGTCACACTATTGCACATCTTACTGACAAATGAACAAATCTCCTCTGCAGATAATTTTATACAAAATACAATCATTTTATCAGCCTAATGGAGGCCTACATCATCAAAAGTTACTGAAATGTTCGCTATTTGTTTATAGGATTTCATATGGCATTTATGGTTCACATATTCATATACACACACAACTGTATATAGCAGCACTAAATTGTTCATCACCTCCACCCTCACACTAAGAATTTAGGTTTTAAGGTATCAGTAATTGGCCCCAAGGTACAGTACATGATCTCTAAGTAAACACAAGCTTTGGATATCTCCCAGTGTTCAAGTGATGTGCATGGGAGAGGAAAACATTTGTTTATCTACTCGAACGTAAGCTACAGTTATTTGCATGTCCAGCTAACTAGCTTACTACCTCAGTAACTGTGTTACTTCCAAGGCCAAGGATATCATCATTAACTAAACACATTAGTTTGTGGGGTGACAAGTTGTGTTAAAAAAAAAAGTCTCATTAACAACCAGCACATCCACTGTGTAGTATTTCCCCACTCTATGAATGACGGTCCTGGGTGCTAGTTTTAGGAGTAGGAGTATATTCTTTGGAGTTTAGGTTAATGTTAGTGGCACTGTCCAGCTCTTTGAATTGAATTTGAGGAAGTTTATACACCAGCAACCCCAATTAAACTCTCTTATAATCCAAGAGATAAATTAGTGTAGCTTCAAACTGCAGTACCTACTGGAGCTGACCCTGGGATACACTAGGGTCACAATAACTAAAAAATGGAGTGCACCCCCCTGAGACGGCACACATTGCAGTTCGACACATTCAGTTCTGCGTGTGTGCATGAAACACTTCCTACATAGTTTTTCTGTGAGAGTGTATGTGTGTGTTTTGTGTACTAACCGGTAGGCTATAGCCAGAGCCCAGGCACTAGCAGCACAGTACAGGGAGTCCCGGACCTTGGCCTCCTTGCAGGTGGTTTTAATCGGGAAAAGACCAGTGGTGGGACTCTGGTAGTTCAGAATGGTTGTCTTGACTAGATAAAGAGAGAGACAGAGAGAGAGAGACAGCGGAAGTGGTCACGCAAGAATTCTTGCAAAACAGGCAATGCTATTATGTACTCACACATTAGTTGAAACACCAGTGAAGACAGCACCTGTAACACATAATGAGCCGGCTAGCACTGTTCCATCAGCCTTACACAAACTGAAGAGGCTCTTTATGCATCTAGTGCAGGTTAAGTCCAAAACACTGACATTTACACAATTATTCATTGCTATTGATCTTCAGAATACACACTTTCATGCCTCCACACATTTTGCATGACCTTAGCTTGTCTGTTTTCACGCCTACACAGAGATAATGCACTTTCTCTAGCAGCATCACTCCCATCACACCTACACCAATCTCTGCCAGATTGATACAGTTTTTGGATGCTCATGTGTCACTGTGGAGCCTTTCCATACTGTTTTGCTGTGTCAGCTGGGGACAAAAGCAGCCCCAGAGTCAGACAGGAGTCGCACAATAATGAACTGCTAGCATGTACCTCTGGTCTTTTTTCGCAGACTAGTCTGCATTTGTGAAGCGTTGAAATATAATATTTATCCAGCTCCTCAAGCAGGGTTACAGCTCTCTTCTTCTGCTGGCACAGCCTGACCCACGACATTCCTCAGGCTGTGCAGCTGTTGCTACTGCCTCATCCGTTCCTCTGGGCTCCTTGTATGCATATTCTGCCTCAAATAAATTCGATTAGATCAAATTAAATTATGTTAAATTCAATTTAGAAAAAGGTTGGGCAATGAAATTTGGCAGACATTTTCTTTCTTTAAATGAAAGTAAGCAAAAGTTAATGTAATAAAATCTCTTGGAGCAGAGCTCTTTCAGTTTGTATTATGTAGACATCTGTACACTGTACGAGTGTGACAACAGATGAATGCTATTCAAGTCGCACAAAGTGTGAACCATGACATGGAAAAGGGGAATGGCTGCAACAGTAGAGACAAGCAATACTTCCTTGAAGAATATCACTCGGTCTTATGATGCCATTGTTTTGCTTCAGAATACTTGGATTGTTATGTACCAGCCAGCAACAGTTTATATTCATGTTAGTGTTTTTCAAGACACACATGGGGTCGTGCAAGCTGACTTGCTCTGCATAATGTGCACACACCACCAGTTATAGACTTAACTTTGACTCAGGAGAGGGAAAGTAGATGCAGTCATAAGTTCCTTTTTGGTATAAACTGTTTGTCCAGTTTAACGGAGTGAGATCAGGGATCAGGTAAACTTCTACCTAACTAACACTCACATATAACACTGTATGACCTGCAGTGTTTCACTACTTCTGCACCAGCGTCAGAGTGGAAATGAAGAAATGAACCAAGGAGACTTCCTCATGTGTTGCATGTTTGTGGCTTAAACATAAACTTTAACCCAACATCTTGCTCTTTGAAAGTTGCCTTGAGGAATGGCTTGTTAATATGAAGTACTACTAAAACTAATACTTGACTTGCGTAAATATACCTTGCACTTCCTCCTGTTTTTAGCCTGAAATTCTGTACAGATGTTCAGGGTCCCCAAAGGATGATACTTTGGTACATTTGCATGCATTTAAACAACCAAGTTACTGTAAACCTGTGTATACATGCAATGTGTTAGTATTTAGATTTTTCTCCTACTCTGAACCTCATTTTGGAAGCATGGCTTACTTATGGTAACTGTAAGATGGCCCTGACTTCTTCCTCATTTTTTAGATTTTCTTGGTGTGTGTCTGTTAGACTGGTGTCTAAATTTATTTAACAGATTATCAGGTTCTAGACTTCTAACGGCTACTTTGTGTTAGTTTTAGTCAAACTTTGAATAGATTTAACGGTATGTTAAATACGAGAAGACATTGTTCTGTGTAATTTTTCGCTGTTAGTTCCCCCGTCTGAAGTCTTTGTCACATAAGTACTTGTAAAAAGCCAATTTGAAACCCAGTTATGGTACACATGGCCAAGAAATCTCTGGGAGCAATCCAGCTGGGGAAACCAGAGTTCTCTTATCCCCTTCCCCTATTACAGAAACCAGGTTTATCACTTATATGAAATTGGATTGCAATGGAAAATGGTTGAGACATTTGTCCCACACAGGGTAAATTTTAATTAAATCCTCCTGAATCAAAGTTTCTTTACAAATTTGGATTATGTCTGCAAAACAAAACAAAAACAGGATTAAATGTCTGAAATGTCTAACGTTTTCAATTTGAAACTGCCCGGTTTAAAAATCGGGCTACAAGATATACTAGAAATGTATTTATCCTCAAGGAAATTGCTGTGCAGCAGTTGCTTTAAAGGATTGAGTGCAAATATCTTTAGTGCAAATATAAAAGTATATATATATACAATATATAAATATATATATATATAAATATATATAAAATATATATATATATATATATATAATATATATATATATATATATAAATATATATAAAAATATATATAATATATATATATATATGACTATATATATATATATATAAATATATATATATATATATATATAATATATATATATACTATATATATATATATATATATAATATATATATATATATATAATAAAATATATATATAGTATATATATATATAATATAAATATAGATTATCAATAAAGGAGCAACCAAATGTACACAATGTCCGCATGTATCACCGTCAACTTGTACGTAACATAAATATAAATTGCAAATATATACACAATGGCAAAAAAACAAGTTAACAGCATTGATCACGGTGAGTTAACCTTGGCGAGTCAGCTCGATACGCAAGATAAAAACACATGCATGAATCCATCTTGCCAGGCAAGGACAAGACAATCTGTGCGTTTGTGGCCAAACTGCGTGGAACTGGACGCAATCAGCGCAGGGTGTTTTCAGAACTTTTTTGACAGGAGGGATGATCACAAGTCGGGCCTGATCTGATGATTGTAAAGTTAGCTGATTTATGCAATTCCAGTATTGTTTAGGGACTCCAGTATGCGAAAATATTTAAAAATACTAGGTGAAAATAACACATTTACAGTGGATGTATTAATGTCATCTGGTTTCATGTGATCTTTCATATATTGGTTCATGTATTCTTCCCTCTAGCTTTTAAATGGAGCCTGCTACAACCTCTGAAAGAGGTGGAGTAAGAAGAGGTAAAGATAACGGGTGGCACTGAGACGCCCCTCGACAGATCCTTTGAGGAAGTACTGGCCAGCTACAGGGGAGCGCGCACGAGAGGTTAGCGTAGATTTTGCTAGCACCCTTTATATCAGAATTGGAGAATATACAGCCGGGTAAAATAGTATTGAACACGTCACCATTTTTCTCAGTAAATATATTTCTAATTCTAAAATCTTGCGAGGAGACCTAGTTGTGGCCGGTTTATGGTGAAATGATGTTCTTTTACACTTCTGAATTATGGCCCCAACAGTGCTCCACTGGAACATTCAGAAGTTTAGAAATCCTTCTGTAACCAATGCCATCACTATGTTTTGCAACAATAAGGTTGCGAAGGTCTTGAGAGAGCTCTTTGGTTTTAACCCATCACATGAGATGTTTCTTGTGTGACACCTTGGTGATGAGACACCTTTTTATAGGCCATCCAGTTGGGACTGAACCAGCTGATATTAAATTTGCACTGACAAGTGGCAGGATTGCCATCTAATTACTGATAGATTTTCAACTTGTTTCTTGGCTTTCCATGCCTTTTTGCCACCTCCCTTTCATCATGTGTTCAATACTTTTCCCTGTGTCATTTCACATTATTACACATAACTTAATTATGGACATTTCTTTGCATGTGTGGATTGCATGGGTTGTTACCGACATCTGGTGAAAATTTCATGACAATAGCACCTTTAGAAATATATTTACTGAGAAAAATGGTGACGTGTTCAATACTTATTTTACCCGCTGTATCTTCAATGAAAGGCTTTTCTCAATGGAAGAGATGTTTTCACTCTTGGATTGGTTGAAGTTCACCTGTGATAGACAGTGACAGATTGGTGGTTCATCCAATCACCAATCAGTATTTTCTGAAAGCACCTGCCCTTTTTCAAACATTTTCCAAACAGTTTCCAACGACGACTTCCCGGATGGTTCTGTGTAACAAACTATCTGGCACAGTCAGGTTAATGGTGAGGTGCCAAAAAATGTACACAGGTTAACAGTAGTGTTAACAAATATTAACAGGTGGACGGTAAGGTGTGAAACCAAAATACATACAGTGTCAAGATATGACCGGTAAGGATAATATATATGTATAAGAGTGGCATATAGCTATGTATGTACAATATCAATCTGAGGTACAGGAAAGTGTTTATGGTTCATTTAAAGGTGATGATCATGATACTGCATGAATTACGACTATAATTCAAAGAGTTAATGATTGTAATCTATGGAGAGACAGAAATCCAGAGAGAGAAAGGAAGATTTAAATGAACAGCTGCAATGGAGGCTGGAGCCACCTCAGCACACCACGTCTCTGCTGTCCATCTCTCAGCCTGAGGAAGAGGAGTTGGGAAGTCTGACTGCCACAGGAAGAAAGATTTCCTGTGACGTTCTGTGGTCTGAAGGTGCTCCTGTGCTTGACCAGTACATCGTGAGGAGGGCAAGAGTCACTGCTCATGATGCTCCTCAGTTTGCACAACATCCTCCGCGCTGACACAAGCTCCAACCCTCAGGTCTGAGCCAGCCTTCCTGATTAGTTGACTGCCCTCGCACTGCTGCCCCCGCATAGGACAGCAAAGAAGATAGCACCAGCTTGTTGTCCAGGTGTACTCCCAGGTATATTGCAAAATGAAGCAGCGGTTATGTAAATTACACCTCAAAATATTTTTTTTAACCAAATTTAGCTGTACAGTACCAGCATCAGGTACTGTAAAGGTAGTAATTATTTTGCTGTTAGCAGAGTGACTGGGAAACTCTGTGAGTAAGGACATTTCTTTGTAAATACCTGAGACATTTTTAAGCCGGAGTACACGGCTGTGAAAGTCTGACTGCACTAAATG